CAGAATGCGCGGGGCCTCGGTGGAATCTGAGGGGTTTGAACTCCAACGGCGGATGGTGATTTCGAAATCTTTGAGTGTTCAAACTTCAAGTAGGCAACTTACTTGTGTCGCTTTTCGTATGGCATAAGACCGGAGTATGATGCGGGATACAACCTCGACAACAGCCACTCGTAGTTTAGGGTCAAGACCGAGCTGGGCTGATATTGTATCAGAGCACAGTGGCTAATGTTGGAAGCATTAGCTTGCATCGGATAGCATTGAAATGTGATCATAGTATCTGATAGATATTCTTGGAAACAACTTGTAGACAGCCTGTGGCGCAGTTTCCATGCAAAGGCTCATTACAGAAGCGAGGAAATTGCCGGGTTAGTTACCAAGACTCCGGCGTCGACCATTAGTAGGTGCCCATTTTGCCAGCGCTCGTTGACGGCTATGCTACTCTGGTGGCCAGTCAGGGATTCACAACGAGATGGGGGCGCGAGACAAGACAGTAGGATCAGAAGAAATGGCAGAACAGATGATTTATAAGACGATTCATTTTGCTGCATTTATGGTATAAGACAAACAAAGGCGGGTACTTTGACTACGCGACCTATGTGCCAGTCCCAGCAAGCGGCTGATCCATGATAAACAATAAAAGCACTTCATTGCTACAAAATACACATGATCCACGTTCAAATACAGTAGTTACCCAATATATTGAGAATGTTTAGCGACTTGAGCGCACCAACTACAAACAGAAGAATTCCGTAGAAGTAATAAGGTTTAGCCTATAATATTCCAGCGGGGTCGCTGTGGGAATGGTAAACAGAGGCCTAAGATTGTGCCGAGAAGTGACCCGTGAGGGCTTTCTTTTTAAAAAGGAATTTGCCCATGTTACAGTACACTGTACTGTAGCATTCCTGAAACAGCTACGGACGATAAGTGCATGGCTGCGGTCGCTAGAGCAGAAGTTGAGTGAGCTCTGCCACGCTATGAAAAGACGAGGGCGCGATCGAGGTTCACCTCTGCCATGTGGACATTACCCTGATATCAACAATTCTCAATACAAATAACAATGTGGGTGCAGGCCGAAAAACAAGTTGAAGGAGTAGTATCCAACCTAAGATGCGGATTCCGCGGTTGTTTGTATGTGCAACTGGAGCACATCGGCATGTGCATCTTTGCGTCAAGTATAAGATATGTCAGCTAGCCATTCTCCACGTCAGGGTAAGTCCATCATCGCTCCTACTACCAACCAAGATTAGAATATGGCGAGATTGACCATGAACAAAACAAGTGGCACCTCCCCCTCCATTACAAGAGAAGAGTTCTCGCGCAGATGTAAGGCCAAGTCTGACAAAAGAGACCAACGAGACCTATAAGATGGTCCAAGAAATAAATCAATAAGCTTCAGATAGATCACAGTGAGCTGCGCCAAGGACTTCTCGAGCGGAGCAGCGCGCGGGTCGTGAGTCCGCTGCACGCACGAACTCCATTTACAGCTGAGCTGCATAATGGAAGCATGCCCACCTTAACAACATGGCAGTAACACAGAAAAAGCCCACGGTACGCCCGGATCGCAGAGGTACTCACTACGGTACAGCACAATTCACCTGGTAACGAGCAGGATTTTGCCCTTGCAATACGGAATTGACACATTGAGTCCAATCAGCCAGATCCAACAAGGCTTGGTATCTTGCAGAGATGCCTGATCATATTTCCCGGCTGCGTATTATGTGTGCATTCATTTTTGATGCCACTGTGTGCTGCATTAATCTCAAAATTGATTTTCATGGTGTCCATCGGATTTCGCTGCCAAATGACGGAATTCGCCTGGTCGGACGTTACTATAACAGAGCCCCATAAATGAGACAAATCAGCGCCCGGTCGATACTGAGGCTTTGTCTGGTGATTAGGAATTTGGGACAGACAGTACTAGAAGCCAGGGCGGAGGATGTATCAGAGTATGTTCACCGGCGAATGGAATTCCGACTAATTTGTAGATCGCCCGGACTAGGCAGGTAGCCCCTGGCGCTCATTGTCCCCACTGCGAATATTGCTGTTGGCTCATCAACCTGCAGAATGCACATTGCAAGGCCATCATGTGAGGTGATGCACACTTGCTACTCGCTACCTGGTGACTGTTGGTGACGTGACTGGCAGCTTGTTGGCCCATTTGGGTAACACTTGATGTGGCAAGGTCCCGAAATGGATATGGCTGTGGAGGTATGACAGAATGATGGCAGGGAGCATCCTGGGTGATCGTATCTGACTAGTATTCCTTGACGAAGAGTTCACCTCGGGGGTACAGTACGGTGGAGTAAACGCACCACAAGGAGACTCAAGACCGGATGCGGGAGTCCTTGAATCCAATGACGGGCGGAGGCTCTGTACATTGTAATACTCACAAATCTAGAACAGCGATTGATCGTGGTATGTGCATCTGTCAAATCTTTGCGAATCGTAATCTGACATGATCTGAAATCATGCGAGATCACCTCGATGAGAAGATACAGCTCGGTTGGCGCCAGCAATTGCCAGGCAAGGCATGGTCCAGGCACCTGTGGCGTTTCCTAGGTGGCGTAGCACTGTCACTGTGAACTTTAGTCGCACGAGCCTGTGGATTCCCACTAGCCTCTGGGTTCTCGGCGTTCTGTCCCATTTCGGTAGATGCTCGGCCGCCTGGCCGTCAACCCTGCTGCTGCCTAGCGCTGCTGCCTGTCCCCGTTTGACGCGTCCCCAAATGGCATTTGCTGTACGATAAGACGCTTTCCTTTAGAAATTTGGCCCGAAAGCAGTTGGTCTGCAGCACTTCTAAATCACAAGTGCATGTACAGTACATGCCACAAGTGGCGTGCGGTCAGGGCTTAGTCTGTCTTTCACGAATAACCATTGGCGGACTTTCATTTCGGTCTACTGTATGAGCCGCATCGACCAACAGAATCGCGGCCTTTTCAGCGAGATCAGAGTTGATCCGATTCATACTGTACTTCGTGGTAATTCCTCCACGATAAGGCCCCCTACTGTGATCAAGTTGTGGTCTCACTTCCCCTTAGCGAGCGATGGTGGTGAAGACCGCACTGTCCCAGCTGCGTAGCTGCATTGCACTGGGCCCAAAGACACCCCAGGAGGGAGCCAGGCTTGATCAACATGCAAAAGGCTTCCTACCGATCCACAGCAGCCAAATCTACGAGATGAATAGATAGCCGTGATCTTGATACATTGCCTCACCGATTCACAACCTTGGTCTCGTAGCATGAGCCGCGGCACCAATGCTGTCAAAACACAGTGCTGGTCGGGGCATGTGGGGCCGGACCGTCTCCCCAAGGAGATTCACATCGGCATTGTTGCTTTTTCACTCAAGCGTGGTGACAAAGGCGATCAGGTCAACTGAGCCATCTATTTTATACTCCTCTAATGCCCAGAGCGATATGCTGTGGACCGTCCACACAGTCACCCAAGCCGCGGCGCGGCTGGCCTCAACATGCGTCCAAGCTTGGCCAGGGCAGGGGCACACAGCCCTGGAAGTACGCTAAACCCGTTAGCTCCAAAGCTTTGAACAGTTTTCAAGATCCCGTATTGCTTGATGCAGGGCTAAACCCATTGGGTCCAAACCTTTGAACAGATTTCAAGGTCTCGTACTTTTTGTATGCAGGACAGTTGTCGTGCGGGATTCGAGCTCCATCCATCTTGCATCGACTCACTTGTACTCCTCTGCCAAACGACGAAGTATCTCTCTGTATCTTCTTTTAAGATGACGTCTCATTCCAAGACGGCGATAATCACGGTCCGGCAGAGACTAAGAGCATTCTGAAGGAGATCAGGAAGGTGACCAAGATCAAACCCTGTCAGTGTGTCAGGGGGCAATGTCGCGAGATCCTAATTTGCATGCATGCGAGGCAAACATGGTGAGGCTTGTACCAATTTTGTTTTATGCGGACTGGCATTTCATTTGCTGTGGATGATGTGACACATTGGCTGATTAGGCTCCAAAATAGTTGCAAAGGGGGAAAGTCGGTTTTCCGCATAGGAGTAAGCTGCGTAGGAAACAGGTCATTTGTGCAGGTCTGCGCCACCTACCATCAACTACCTGTGTTTGGCCTGCAATTTGATTTGAACGAATGCTCTTGTTGCATAAATGTTTTTTTCGTCTAGGAGGCGGGGGTATTCGCCGGTCGATATGCTGTTCTCGAATGAATGCCGCTGCCTGTGCGATGGCTAGTGGCAGATGATCAAGCCGCTTAGAAAGAAGCTCGGCTTCCTCCAAAGAAATTTCGTAATATGACATCTTATGTAGAAGCTGTCCAGTCTCGGTTTCGCTCATGTTGTCGACTTTGATTGCTGAGGATTTGCCCTGTAAGAGTGTAACTCCTGCCTTCTTGTCCCTGGTTGTGATTCGGATAGACCCGTGCATGCATTCAGGGAGATAGTCACCCAGACGATTCAAAGGGGGCACCGTCCTGACGTAGCTTCGATGGGAAGAAGAGATCTCTGTCGTCAGCAGTGTCGATAATCATCACCCAACGACCACGCTCTTTGCTCTCCAGCCACCTTCGAACAAGCATTGGTACGTCAGCTTGAGGATCACTGCGACTGGGAATCTGAAATTCTTCTGCAATAGAGGTAAATGCTTGACGAAAGCGGTCTGCATTGCTAGCATGAACCCAAAAGACAGACGTATCAAAAGATTCATCGTAGATCCAATAAACAAATGCAAGGGCGACCTCAATTTTCCTATGTTGGTCATTAGAGTGCAGTAGGATTTGGGACATGAACTCTACATACCCAATTCCACCAAGGCCAAAAAGCGAAACTCTTGAATACTGCCAGCTTGGCCCTTGATGTAGCCAAATATTTCTTTGACTTTCTGTAGTTTCATAGATCGGTCAACATAGTCTGGATTTCGGTTGTACGGTACGAGAACTAATTCGTTCAGTACCAAGTCAAAATCTCTAGCCTGTGAGTCGTCACGCACACTTCGTATTTTCGTCCCGGAGCCAGCTTCGCACACCGATGGCGCGTTTTGCAAGGCCTCGGAGTCTCTGGGAATGGTTGTCTGGATGGTGCTTTCCCTGGGTCGGCGCTCGTGTTATCATGCTCTTACTAGAACGAGGTTATTGAACGATTCCGGACGACGAGACGCTACGCAACACTTGTTCACAGTCATTCACATAAAGTACAGCCCAGGATGGTCATGGTGAAGGCGAATGCGGTTGATACATTAAAGGTTATGCAGCCAACAGCAAAAGGTAGAGCTGAATTGGCGAGGGAAATTAAATGTACCTTTGACGAGTAGAGAGTCACTGACGGCTTTGGTGACTAGTCAAATATTCATAGCTCGGACATCGCGATGCCTATGTCGGGCCTGTATCTGGGGCCTAGGTGACTGAATTCATGTAGAGATTAGAATAAGCTCTCATTCCACCACTAAGGCTGCCTAATCTTAGCCTCTTTCCGAGCACAGCCCGAACAGGTGACCAGTGTACAGCTATATATAACTTCCTATACAGAACTGTAGCCAATCACATTCTGTGGCCATGCCGCCCCGCGCTAGACATTTGCGCAGGAAGAAGATACCCAACGATGTCCTGAGACGAAGGGCCCGGAAGCTGTTGTTCTGTATTCATTCCGCTGTGCTGCCTCCCTAATGTCATCAGTCCTTGATACGGTGCGGGATGGCTATCGGCCTGCATCACAATTTCTCGGATGTCTCCTCCATCTAGAGGCTATCGAGAACCCCGTCTCAATCGGATCAAAATGTAACATTGCCAAGGCGGCGCCGATCGTGAAAAAGTATGTTGATGTCATGTATCGCGCGGTTTCTTACTATCTTAAACGTCAAAGCTTTCGCTCAGAGTGTCAACCAATTCAATTACATCCACTGAACCTCTCAGTGTAATAAAATGGAAAATCTCTAGCTATTAGTTGAATTGAATTGAATTTTAAAAACTGGCAGTGTAATTTAGTTGAATGTGATGGAAATAAATAGATTTTTTAAATCGGCCGAAAAAGTGAATTTCGGATCCGAAGTATTTTGACTGAGATCTCTTATCTTATCTTTTCATCTTATCATTGTATCTTATCAACCAGACGAGATGATTAGATAAGGAGATAACATAAGAGGGAAAGAAAAGGAAAAGAAATATTCCCCCCCTGCCTCCCTTTTCAATGCATTTGATCCAATTCAATTACATCCACTAAATGATTCCGTGGAATGGAGTGGGCGAAATTATTTCTTTAGTGGAATGGATGGAATTGGCATAAACCAACCCACCCACTCAGTTTAGTCGAATTGATTCAGTGTGGTCAATTGACACACTGCTATGGGAACTTGCGTTACTATTGCGGAGCGTTCCTGAATACGAGGCTGCGGCTGTCCCCGGCTTTGAGCTTCAGTTGGAAACATGCAGGTGAGAAAACAGAAGGTCCCCATATCTCGTTGTGGCTTTCACGCCATCAGGCTTGCGTGAGCATGGCGTCCAGTAATCAGGTCTGGCCAGCGTCGATGCCGAATCGTGCCTAGTGATATGTGGTCAGCCAAGAGTATCAAGACGAACCATGAGAATCCCTGCTAGGTGTCACGCCACATATCAAGACTTACAAGGAGGGGATTGCTCTGTTGATTTTACTGGCAGGGAACAAGTGTAGCCTGGCGCAATGGCTCCTGTTCTACCAGCCTAGCTTTCGCTGTATTGAAGTCCGACGTGGGCTTTTGAACTGTTCTTATCATCGTGCCCCGCTTTCAACGCCACTTTCGGCATAGTAAGCTCCGAGCACGCCTCCGCTTGCATTATGGGGGATTGCGCGGGTGCGGGATCGAATCATCATCTTACCCTTGTCAAGCTGTTCACCTGCACACGTTTACCTGTTGGCACTGTCTCATCATGAAACGCCTCTTGATCGTTGGATGCGGTGTGTTTGGTCTCTCAACGGCGATTGCTGCTGCAAATACTTGCGACGTGGTGGTGATAAGCGACAACGATGAAGCTGCAGCTTCCTGGGGCCCGGCAAGAATATATCGATCGTCATCAAGTTGTTATGACATCTTTCTCAGGTTATACCAGGTTGCATCTGGATGGCCTGGACGAGTGTACTTGGATGGTAGGGAGACAAAGTAGCCGCAACTCGATTGATGGTTTCCTGGAAATCGTTGTGCGAGCACTTGACGATACGACCACCAAAATACTCATTGTTAGCCGCGATGAAGCTGAGATTGACATGGATTAGACTACGCAAGTGGTTGTTCGGAATCCAGAATATCTCATTCAGACGTACAATCCGACGTATATTCATACTCCAAGAGTCTTCTTGACAAGAAGCTAGTAAAGAAGGATACGGCTACCAGGAATGAGCTCTCGCGGAAAATGGCAGACCGCTGCGAAGGGCATTTCCTCCTCCTAAAGCTCCAGACGCAGTCTAGTGATGGATGGACACCACTGAATGCCGCCTCAAGTAATGGCCACATCGAGGTGGTCAAGCTGCTGGCTTGAGAAAGGCGCTGACGTTGCTCGCCCGAACACAGATCGCATGACACCGTGATATATTGAGCGCCAGGCTTCCTTTTCATCGTCAAGCTTCTTGATAAGGGTTATGATCCTAGGGTGGCAAACAGATATCGTACGACTTCCCTTCATGCCGCGTCCCTTGGCAAGGCTATTGCAATTGTTAATTTGCTTCTTTAAAAGGGGCGCTCCACCATATGTGCTGGATGTGCTTGGACCCAATTTTCTATGCCCTCCGGTGCGATTGCACTTTCGCGCTCGATTCCTTCCTTTCGACCATCCTTATGGACGACAATGTTCAGGAGTGGGCGCGCCACGCCGGGACGCAGCTCCGCAATAACCGCCTCGCTCTGGCGGCCCTTCCTAACTCTTTGACATCACTGCGCCTTTCAAAGCTCTTTGTTGGAACGGTCACCTGGGCTAGATGCACCGATGCTGCGGACATGAAAAGGCAAGTACGGCCAATTGCGCAGCATGGCTGATGCGCATTGATGCCTGATGCGTGAGGCTTCTATGGTCACACAATTTCCCCGCAATCGCCTGTGTCCAGATTGTTTAAATGTCATTAAACCTCGGTGCTTATCATTCTCGACTTAGTGGATTCAACGTCAAATTTCCAGAGTCAGGACAATGACTATGCAGTCTGCGACCCTTCCAGCAGGTAGCCCTGCCGATTCGAAAGCCCAGGATGGTGATTTCGAGTCCGACGACGATGACGTGATCTATCTTGAGACCCGACCGCGAGCGCTTGAACGACATCTTCCAGACGCACCTTGCTTGCAAAGTTCTCCAGCTTCTGGAACCATCTCGAGCCCAGACATTTCTTCTCAACGACGGAATTCTACGAAACGAGGAGGTCGTACTCCCGGAATGTGTGTA